TTCTTACTTTACCCCCAAGTGTTGTTCTTGATTTTGTTTACTAACTTGCTAAATTTATTAAATCTGCCTCCCACTCACTGTGTGTCCCCAGTGATGCCTGTGCTCAGTTTTTGTTTGTCTGTTTTTGTTTTGTTTTGTTTCCAAAACGTCACTTCTAAGTCTGGCCTTTTAAAGGCTGTCCTGTATTTGTACAGGTTAATGATCAGCCAGTGGTTAGGAAGATGTTATGCTCAAATATCCCAGGCTGATGGATTCACATGTAAGTAGTAAGAGAACGTTGAAAGTTTAGGCTTTTTCAAATCTGTCCCAGCTTTTACTTTCCATTGCTCTTTTTTTGTCTCCTTCAAAAAGTGCAGTCTCAAGTACAAGAAGGAGTTCATGAACACAGGGTCCTCTCCTCTCTCTGTCTCACCTATATGTGGCCTTGGCCAGGAATATATTGACCCCAATTACCACCATTAGTTCAGGCTGGTAGGTTGTAAGCAATTCTGCTCTCCTGTCATCAAGAATATCACTTTTACTAACAATGTTGCTGAATGTGGCCACTGCCCATTGCTCTGGATCTAATGAGCACCCTCAACTGGCAGCAAAGCTACCAAGCCTCATAGTCCACCTCTGTGCAAGGTGAGCTGGGGTGGAGGTAGAGAAAGGAGAATGACAGCCTCCAGGCAACAGCTCACAGACACCCACTGTTACCCAAAATTCAGGGGAGGAGGGAGGAGAAAAGAAGCAACAAAATTTAACATACACCAAGTATTTCTTGGAGCCACAGGGTCTCATTTGCAACTTAGGTGTTCCTAAAAATAAGTTTTCCAAAGATAAGTTTAAAAAGCAATGGGTTATGGTTACAAAACCATGGAACTGAAATATTCAACAATCCTAATGTTATGCCATTGGATACTTGTGGTTTGGGATAAATATCCACAGATAGTGTAATGCTGAAATCCAAAAACTACTGTATTTCCAATGGACTACAGTGAAGATGATGTTCTCTGAAAACCATGTAAAAATAATCTAAGTAATGCATGGTGTGGTGGCACACGCCTGTAATCGTAGCACTCAGGAGGCAGAGGCAGGAAGACTGTGTAAGTTCCAGGCCTAGAATACAAAAGTTCAAGGCCAGCCTGGAGCACACAATGAGACCCTGTCTCAAAACAAAACAAAAGATAACTTAATTAGCTAATAAGAAAAGATTGGCATAACATCAAAACATGCACATTGGATGTGTCTATACTTAAGATCGATTAAAAGAAATGAGATTGGGTGCTTAAAAATTAACGTTCTCCATGGTTAAGTTTAACAAGAACTTAGGCTTCTGATAAATTATGCAGAACTAGTAGCCTGAGTGTGCTGATAAGAGTAACATGGAATAGGTAATAAACAAGAGATGTCCTTCAGCACTGAGCACAAAGATGCAATTTCTTAAGCCTTTGGGATCCTAAACCACTTTCCCCTGGAACTCAGTCTGACACCCTTTCTTTACTCTTAGATTACTTGATAGTTTGAGTGGCAGGTAGTTTCCAATCTGCCTTGCTCCATAAAACTACATAATCTAGAATCAAATAACCTTTCCCCCATAAAACTACATAATCTAGAATCAAATAACCTTTCCCCCATCTCCCAGGTGTTCCCTTTACCCTCAAACCCTCAAGCGTGTGTGTGTGTGTGTGTGTGTGTGTGCGCGTGCGCACGCGGGCGCACGCGCAAGAAAGAGAGAGAGAGAGCGAGAGAGAATGGAAATATCACAGAATTAAGAAATTTCCAAAGATCAAAGACAGGAAGATGCATTAGTGAATCGTTTCTTTCGCCTTTGGAGTCTGAGGTTCTAGTTACCCAATTTCTTTGTAGATTTGGAAGAAATATGGTCATTTCCCTTCTAAGGGAAATAACTGGTAGCTGCCTCTTAGAGACTTCCTCATGCCCCATTACAAACAAGTCTGCGATGAAAAGTTTCAGCAAACACACATATAGATATGTACACATACACATATATACTCTCCCAGCCGTCTCTCTGGTCAGGATCTTCAACGACCCATCTGTGAAGTTCTGGCAGTCAAGAGAAGTTCTCTCATCCTCAGATTCCCATTCCAGCACTCAATCCATTCTATCACTCTGAGAAATCATTCTTTCAAACCCTCAGTGTGAGTGACAATAGCTGCCTGCTGCAACAACCTTTTCTATTAACAAAAAAACCAGGTGAATGAATTTCAGCCATTCAAACTTCTTTCCTCGGAGACTATCATCTGATACAGGGAATGAACTTCATAGAAAGGCATGTAGCTAGGCTGGGTGATCAAGGTCTTCTGCCTGTCTATCTCTATTTCTCCCTTCATAGCCTCACACTAGGACTTAGTTGTGTTCATTCCAAAAGGTAGGGTTAATGCCATCATCCCTAGTCCTTCTGACCTTTCACCCTCAAACTTGCTTAGCTGGCATATGCACAGCATGGCTTGAGCCTAACACTGCAAAAGGGTTGGTTGGAAGATTTGAATGAATGTTTAGTTAAAACTAAATCTCTAGGAATACAGATACAATTTACTTCATACAAATTCCAAATAAAATCAAACTTACTCATCAAACAACTTGGATTCTTTCTCTCACTTTTGAATGAGATAACTCAGATTGAATATGCTAGCAAAGAATAAATGTGTCTCACATCTTTCTTTGAACAGTACTCTTTTGGAAAAATAATTCATACCACAATTCAAGTTCCCTTTTCTACTTTTTATTTGCACGTCAAGAAACTAGAAAATTCCATAAATAGCCCACTAACTTAGGTAAGCAAAAACAGTCTTCTCCAAAGCATTAGACATCAAGGGTATAAAAGAGGGAGCAGAATATCTAATCTCTTTGGCAGACATGAGTAACATCTGCTAGATAAGAATAATATCGGCCATAAATGAAGATAGAAAACAGGATTCAGATATGTAAATATAACCAGTAAAAAGTAAACACAACTTGGGGACAAAGAGCAATATGGTAACTGAGTCAGAGAAAGGTTTAACTTTAAACCAGAAATCTGACATGAAAGGTCAGGTGTGTTTTACCTCTACCACTATAAACCATTCTGAGATTTTCATGTTAATATAGGAGAAAACTGTGACATGCCTCTTTCCTGGCACAGATCTTAAAGCAGTAAATTGGAGAAGAAAATCCCTCAGCTCAGAATTTAGATAAAAATACTAGTTAAGAGCAAAAGCAAGTTATACTACTCGCCGCGAGACAATCAAAGTAACAGCACCATGCTCCTGTGAACTGAGGAAAACAAACTCATAGCCTTCTAGAGCCTGGTAATGTGCAAGAAGTGCTTCCAGAGAACTGTATACCACTTACCCTAGCTAGGAAAGTTACTTAAGGTCTTAGTTTCTTATAAAAACAAATTATTTTACTTATCATGTAGGATTATTTTAAGTATTAGATGAGGGTACCAGGAATTGAACTTACTTTTTTTCAGTACCAGTAATGGAACTCAGGACCTTGTGCTTACCAGAAAGGCATGGCAACACTGAGCTAAAACCCAGGCCCCTAGATGAGAGAATTTATAAGAAAGTTCCCATAACGATTCTTTGTATTAAACACATTTTATTTTCTATGAAGACACTCCAAGTTCTTTCTATTATAGTGGAAGAAGACAGGGCTAGATTTTAAGGTTTTCTTACTTGCTTTTCCCGTGATACAGAATTGCCACAATAAAGAACTTTATTATGGCTTGTATCTAGATGTCCCCCCAAAGTCTCTTGTGGTCATTGGTGGGGCTTTTCAGAGGTGATTGGATCTAGGGTGTGTGATGCTGGGATTGATTCATAGTACAATGCTAGGATTAAGGCTGCCCCACCCTGGATACAATATAAGAAACAGAAAGATGGTCATTACTTGTTATTTCTCCACTACTTCACTGCCTTCTACCCACAATGAACTGTTTCTCCTTTGCAATGCCTCTCTGCCATACCACCCTACCTTGTAGCCAGCCAACTATGAGCTGAAACCTCTACAAACTATGAACTAAATGAATGTTTCCTCCTTTAATTTTGAGTGTCAGGTATTTTGTCTCAGCAGCAAAAGAAAGAATAACCAAGACAAACATAATCAGTTTAATTTAAAATTTAGCATTACAGGGCTGGGGATTTAGCTCAGCAGCACCGTGCCTGCCTTGCAAGCACAAGTTGCTGAGTTTGATCCTTGGTACCAAAAAAAAAAAAAAAAAAAAAAAA